CAGCATTACTCATCATCATAAGAACATGGAAACAGCCTGAATGTCCAACCACAATCTAATGGATTAAGAAGTTATGGTAGAATGGGGGGAGCTCTGGTGGCCTGATGACTAAGGAGACAGATTGCCCACCCAAAGGTATTCAGTTCTAATCTGCCAGCTGCTTCAAAGGAGACTGACAGGCAATCTCCTCCCACGTGATTTACAGCCTCTGAAAACCCACTGGAATGTCAGCTAGGTTCTGATTTGACAGCACATAAAAAACAACCAATCAACCAAACAAACAAACAAAAAACCAGCGTGAAACCACATTCTCAAAGAAAAAATAAGAAATTATGGTAGAATCACAGGATGGAATACTACGCAACACGCAGGGGCAATGATTTTGAAAATTACTACTTGAGAGGAATTGTAGAGCATTTTGCTAAGTGAACTAACTCAGTCCCATAAGGACAAATACTGTATAAGACCATTATCATAGAAATAAAAATATAACTAGTAAAACGTTCAGAGGGAGAGGAGAGAGCAGAGGGGTGAGGTTGAATGGGGGAGGGTAATCACAGAGTCACACAATTTGATTGATGGGTGGAGAGAGGGGTGAGTAAAGGCAAAGATCCAGTGTGAAAAACAATGTATATAAACTTTCTAAGTAAATCAGTCTAAAATAAAAATGTTCTTTTTTAAAAAAAGACATTTACCTGTTACTGTGATTATTATTCAAATATACCAAACAACCATTAGGAAGTTCTGGTGGCCAAGAAGGGAGGGGAAAGAAAAGAAGCCAAAGATTCTCACCCCCAGGCTAACTGGAAGCATCATGATGGATGGAGACGAGATTGAAGCTGTTAACAATTTCATCTTGTCAGGCATGATTAACAAGAGTGTTAACAATCTGCACTCTTGGCAGCAGCAGTCAGGAAGTCAAAAGACAAGTTGCTTTGGGAAAGTCTCCTGTCAGGGGCCTTTCCAGAGTGTCAAGGAGCAATAATGTTAGAAATCAGCGTGCACCTGATCCAGGCCATAGTCTTTCCAGTTACTTGCTATTCATCAGAGAACTGGACAATGCCTAAAGATGATAGAAAAAGAATCGATGCCTTTGAGCTGTGGTGCTGGAGAAGAGTATTGAATATACTATGGACTGACTTCCAAGGGAACAAATAGATCTTTCCTGGAAAGGTGAAACCAGGATGCTCCTTGGAGGCAAGGATTCTGAGGCTTCATCTGACATCCTTTGGGCATATTGCCAGGAAGGGCCCATCCTTGAAGAAGGACACTGTGCCGGGAAGGGTGGAGGGTCATCATGGTAGAGGAAGACCCTGGAGAGATGGATTGACACAGTGACTGTGGCAATGGGTTAGGTGTGTCAGAGACAGTGAGTTTGGCTCAAGATTGGGCAGACTTCAAAGCTGCTGTTCACAGGGTCGCTATGAGTGCAGCCCCCTCAAGGGCACATAACAACAAGGCCGTGGAAGAGATGGGGAGGGAAGAGGGCAAGAAGGAAGAGACGAAAGGGTAGGGTGGACGAGGGAAGGAAAGAAGGGAGAGTGGGAAGGAGGAACGGGAAGGAGACTGGGGAGAAAGAGGGGAAGGGGGAGTTGATATTGTTTGGGTACCAATGAGTCCAGTATCATTCATAGCAACTCTGTGGACAGCGACTTGAATCGGGCCCTACGCTGTGCTATCCTCATCATTTCTGACACATTTGAGTCCGTTGTTGAAGTCACCATGTCAATTCATCTCTTTGGGGGTCTTCCTCTCCTTCGCTGACCCTCCACCTTTCCAAGGAATAGCCTCACCTAGCTACATGATCTCTTGAAGAGGTGCTGAAGTGGTATCAGGGAGGGACAGAGATGGGAGGAGGAAAAGAGCGGAAAGCAAGCCCAGGAAGGGAGGGGCGAGGACAGGGAGAAGGAGGGAACGATTGGAAGAAGGGGGAGAAATAGGTGGGAAATAAGGGGGGAAGCAGGAGGGGGAGAAGGGAAAGAGATGTCAGAAGGGGCATGGGGGAGAAGTGAGGGGAGTGGTGTGGGGAGGAGGGAAGGAGGGAGGAGTGTGGGGAGGAGGGAAGGAGTGTGAGGAGGAGGGAGGAGTGTTGGGAGGAGGGAGGAGTGTGGGGAGGGGGAAGGAGGGAGGGGTGTGGGAGAAATGGGAGCTTCCTGGATTTCTGAGTCCACTGTCTCCTCTCCCCGAGGGAGGCTCAGGGTGGCTCTGTTATGGGTTTATGGAACCCCTTCTGTTTCAGGAATCCTGCCCTCCCTCTCTCTCCAGAGCTGTCCGAAGTGAAGGGGGTGGGGCCCAGTGCCCAAATTCCAGCGGCAGAGCCCCACCCCCACCGGGATGGCTGCCCTCCCCCACCCCCAGCGTCCTCGCAGGTGCAGGGGTCTGACAGCCTGTTTCCTGAAGAGCATGACCCCTACCTACAGTGGCCAGAGCCAGGTGGCCTCTGATGCCCCCACCAGCACCAGCCGGTGAAGATGCAGGTTCATCTTTGGCATCTATTTCCTCATTCCTACTTGGACCAAAATTCAGATCAAACGTCTCTCTGACGACCAGCTGTTCAGCTCAGCTGAGTTCCCCACAGCCACAGCCACTGGGGGCCACTCCCTCCTTGAATCTAGCTGTGAAGACCCGATGCTTGTTCCCCGCTGTGGTGGCAGGAAATTGGGGCCACCTACCCCCTAGTGACAGCCAGGAAGTGCAAGGTCCAGCCTCAGCCCTGTAGGCCTCAAACCTCTCCGCTGTGGGGGCAGCTGTGAGTCTGACCCCAGCCAGACCCCTGAGGAACCCACTCAGCATCAGAGTGAAAGGACAGCCGGGCTGTCTCCGTGTGTGTGT